AGAGAGAGAGAGAGAGAGAGAGAGAGAGAGAGAGAGAGAGAGAGAGAGAAACACACACTGATTTTACTAACTTTCTTTGCATTACCATCTAATTAGGTAAATGTCACTCGTGAAGATTCACCTGGGGAAGATCCTATATTTCTTCGTACTCTAGGAAAAGGAGATTGGTTTGGGGAAAAAGCACTCCAGGGGTAAGTATTAGTGCACAATTTAGATTTGCTGTAATCAATAGGTAAATTATGTACCTTGAAAACTGAAAAAAAATGTAGCATCATTACCATATTATTATTAAACTATCTAAGATTGAAAGTAGTAAGGAAGTAGACAACTCTGGCACAAATTCACTAATTCAAGGTGAAGACATATTTCCTATTGTGGTTAAGTCCTTAAAAATCAGGCACAAAAAGTTTTTTAAGAGTTAAATGCTATATCGTGCATTCATATTCTTCATTGTGTTCGGCTTTATTTCCTTCTAGCTGACTTGGGTCACATCGGCTACTTACATGAGAAATCATCACAAAAGTGTACATTGGGATTAGACTGGACTTTGGAATAGTCTTAGTTGTAAACATGTAGCAGACACACAAACACACACACACACAAATACAAACACACACACAAAAGGAAAACAGTGGCAATAACATTTCCGCATTTTTGTCAAGAAAACAACACATCCTCAATTTGAGTCCAAAATTTATGTTGTAACGTGAGAATTTTGTAAAGTGAATTTTGCCCCATTTTATGACTTTTCTTGCCACATTTGTTAAGTGAATCCCTGAAGTTAACAAAATTGCAGTTTTGTTAAGTGGTTGTTAAGTGAATCTGGCTTCCCCATTGACTCTGCTTGTCAGAAGGTCGCAAAAGGGGACACTCTAACTGTCAATAAATGTGAACCAGTTGTCAAACATCCTAATGTAAATCATGTGACGAAGCGGATGCTACAACTGTCCATAAGTGTGAAAAATGTCATAAGTCACTTTTTTCAATGTTGTTGTAACTTCAAACAGTCACTAGATGAACTGTCAGTTTTGGAAGCCATATTGAGATTCGATGCTCCTACACTGCCACAATTGAGCCTGAGAAAGTGGGAGGGAGGAATTCATTTGAGTATATCTAGTTAGACAAAATAAAATTCATGTCCTGGTTCAAGGTCACTGAGTGTGGCACATAATGAAATGGGAATCTTACTTTAGGACGGATGGTGATTGGACCATGTGAGGTGATGATGGCTAAGCGGGGGGGTGGACTTGTAGTTTTGACTCTTGCAAGGAAGCCCGAAACTTTCAGATTCAGGATTCCACAGATGTGCCAGTTACTATCCAAATAAAGGAACCTTTGAGAAATGTCTGTCTCAGAGTTATTGGTTGGAATGGAAGGTTGCTGGAACGCTGACATGAACTATTGTAAGTTGAGGACTACCTGTAATTTATTAGAAGTCAAACTTGAGTCAGAGAAAACTTTACAGTTTTCAACTTTTGGGGAATCACTTAGGAAAATTAGGAATAAGCATAAATTATTTCTTTATGAATGCCAGATCACTTTGTACTGAATTAATGATTATTAAGTTTCTCACACTTCCCTCTTTGATGGTTATGCATTGGTATCATACACCCTGAATATTTTATTGCATCACTCCATTAATGTAGTCTCTGAAATATTTAACTCATATTCTCACAAAACATTTTAGTACTCAAACCATATTTCTCAATGCTTCTGCTAAGTATTCATTCTTTAGAAACCTGTTCTTACTTAACTTAAGATGTGATATTTTGTAAGAATAGGCCAAACATTATCAAAAAATTGTTAAGCGGTTTGATACAACCTCTTCCGTAGAGCTCATTTCTATCCTAATTTTTAATCAGCTTTTCAATCATAGTACTTGTTTAGTTTAAATAAATTCATTTTCAAATATTCATATAATACATATACAACATTGTAATACTCAGTTCAAAAATAATTCATGTTTGAGAACTCAAGTGAAACTCTGGACTTTTTTTCATCAATACTCAAATGAAAATATATTGTTGAGCTCCAACAGAGCTCAGATTCCTAACAAAATTTGTTATGCTTGAACAAGTGTTGATTTTTTACCCAGTAATGGTTAAATTGCTGAGATATATCAATATGTCAATGAAATATTCTGGTGAGTAGAGTTTCTGAATAAGCTGCTGCCAGAAAAATTTTCCATAAATTTCAAAGAGTGGCATTTTAAGAATTACCAATAAAAGAAAATATTTTAACTTAGGGTTGAAATGAGGGGCTCTTGGTGCTCTCTGAACTCACTTGTTTTCTTGCAGACATTTCATTACCCTATCTAGGTAACATCATCGGTGCTAGTAAGGAATGCTGTTTACTGTCAGTTTATATCCTTATATAAAGAGACAATCAACCAGCCCCAAAGAGAAAAGGACTCCGTCAGTAATCAGCACTCAGATCAGCATAGGTCAACTCCAAGGTTAACTTCAGGCCAACAATCAAATATTGAAAATACATGTTTCCATGAAATAGGCATGTAAACAATTGAATGTAAACATGTCTTAAACTGTTAACGATGCGCCATAATCCTAATGAGTTAAATACTGTATGTTGCTAATATAAAGCAAAACATGTTGTGTAGGAATTATATTCATGCTGAAACTGCTGAAGCTGTTCAATTTTTATGAATGACTGAAGCTATACCTTTTAAATACTCAGCCTGTTTTCAGTGGTTCATGAAAACATTGTACGGTTTCAGTTTTTTGTCAGCTCCAGGAAGGAGAATGCAGTCCAACATTTTAGAAATAAGTACTCCATTCATGTGTAGGGGTTGTCCACAAATCAGACTTTCTTGACAGGGGGATGTCTATGCAACTATGTTTTTCTCATAGTCTTTATGTTATGTTATGTGCAGTAAGAAACAAGGCCTTGGAGAAGAGATTTCCCATGAGTAATAATGCTTATTCACCTAGCATTGGAATGCTTTCCTTAGGTTTGTTAAATTCTAATTTTTAACTAAAAATGGATGTGGTATAGTTAAAGTTGCTGAACATTCAACAAGATATTTCCACATTCAGGTATAGATATTGGAGTACATTTGCCTTTTTTTTTTTTTTTGCAACTGATATGAAGAGTATTTGCATGCATTTTTCTTTCTTTCTAAAATATGTGCATTGCATCTATCATCCACTTTTGGAGTGTGATTCTCATATTTTTTTAAGAAGAGCTAATACGGGGCACAGGCATACTTTTCATTACATAGTGCAATATACACATATTTTGTACTTAGCTATCTGGAACCCTGGTGTGAATTCAGCATTTATGACAAAATTGGAAAGCTTCCAACTGAAGCATCATGGTTTGTGTTCTCTGATGTCTGGAAATCGGTTTCTTGGTTCCTGCAGCAGTCCTGGAAACTATTAAAAACCATTGTAGTATATGATCATATATGCACACCAAACAATAGTAGTCCTTTTAATATCATCTTTATAATAACAATAATAATAATCAATGAATCATTTGCAAAGAGCAGCTTTACTCGGAAAAATTTACATCCTGTGAAAATATCTTTAACAATATCTTTAAATATCAATATCTGCCTATCCCAGGTCTTTGGGAAGAACTTGACAAGTCAAGAAAAGTGCCAAATCCAATCTAATCATCTGGCTGACTGTGAGAACAACTATTGATTAATAATTACTATTGTTTATTATTGCCCTTGGAGCAATACCTAAAGGATTCCCTTGATATCACTTATCAGACCTGAATAGCCTAATTTCATAAAATCCCTTGCTTGGCACTGCCTATATTTTTGGATGCTACTTTAATAATACTTAGAACCTTGGTTAGGACTTGAATTATTAAGTTTCCATCAAATTGTGAATCCAACTGTTGATTAGTCAGAAATAATAATAATTTGACAAAATCACCATCACCATTCTGGATAGGAAGACCAGAAAATAAATGGCAATGAATCATGCCCTTCATCCATACAGTGATAATTATAGATTCTACTTACCAAGGAAAAGAGGTGGGCATTGAATTTCACATACACCAAACCAGCAGTCGCCAACCGGTGGGCCACTGGTGGGCCGTGACAAAATTTTGGTGGGCCACAGAGAAATCTCACCCCCAGAGCACCCCCTCAAAGCAATTAATCCAGGCTGCTCAGAAACACAAGGCTGCACAGCCCACATGGCCCACATGAACCACCACCACCCTGGCCACTTACTCCTTACCCAGCAAACTTGCCTGCTAAATTGCTATTTTAACTTTTTCCGACCATCATCTGTTCTGCTGTGCCAGGAGATTTAGATTAGCTTGGAAGCAGAAAATGGTTGGATTTCTTGCTTTCTAGCTAGTCTTGAGATCTTCGGCTCTGCTTTTAAGCACAGCCGAATCTCCTTTAGGACTGAAGGTTGTATTATTCAGTGCAGACTCACGGCAAGCAAATTTGAGAGACAGAGCTAGCCGATGGCAGATAGATAGATCTCTGAATGAATCTGTGATTCTGTGAGCAACTCAATCTGCCTGCCTGTTTTGCCTGCTTTTGGGTGAAAGTTGCTCTTTTTTTAAAATAAAAAATTCGATATTTACATACATGGTATGTTGTGATTTAATTTTGTGGGTTTGCTTGCTAGAAAATTTTATGAGTTTGCTTGTAAGCAAATTTTATGTGACAGACTGAGCTAGCCAATGGCAGATAGATAGATTTCTGGATGAATCTGTGATTTTGTGAGCAACTCAATCTGCCTGCCTGCTTTGCCTTATTTTGGGTAAAAGTTGCTCTTTTTTAATAAAAAATTCAATATTCATAAAAATATTTATATTTACGTACAAGCTATGCCCAGCCAGTCTCATGACCACAAAGCCACACCCACAAATTAGGCCACACCCACAGAACCAGTTAGTAGTCCCTGGGATTTAAAATTATGAGTTTGGTGGTCCCTGAGGTCCAAAAGATTGGTGACCCCTGCACCAGACAGTTTTAAAAATAAAAAGAACGTTGGAAGAATATCTGAAGGCCAGTGAAGAAGATTCACTGAAGCTAGTACACCATGAAGACTTATTGAATACCAGAGAGAGAGAGAGCACACTGATCTACAAGAAAGACCAAATGAAGACTAGAAAAGAGACATGGCAAGACACAACATTACATGGCCAGTACATAAAACAAATAGCAAGCAAAGCAGATAACCACAACATCTGGCAATGG